TTCCTACAGGCTGAAAGAACTAGGTTTTTTAGTCGTAGGTGTGCTGCCAGAGGAAGAATGCTTTCTTCCAGCTGTTCAGTGACTTAGGAGAATGGGGGGCAGAAAGTAGCTGGTGAAGGATAATTGCAGCACAACACCCAACATCTCAACATTTCATTTCCAAACTCTTCCAACTTTCTGAAATCGAGTTGCCAGCATTATGACCAGCTTGTGTCAGGAGCAGGGTTCTGTTTAGCCTTAACTCTTTTCTCCGAGTCTGTTTTTCTGACTCATGTACTTACAGGGAGATGCTGTGTTAAATCAGCCTTTGCTCCAGCACCCTTCCCCACGCTTGGTGCTGTCTGAAGTCATCTTTATTGACCACGGGTGGACAGAGTTGTCCGCCAGAACTCCCCAACGCAGCAGTATGGCAGAGGACAGCCCATCAGCACTGTGTAACATCTTTAAAAAAAAATCTGGACTATCCTTCCTGGCATATGCAAGGGTTTCTATATGCCTTTTCCATAGCAACCTGATCGTAGCAAGTTTTATTAGTTGCAACTTGTATTACCCAAACTTGGAACTCGGTATTTGGAAATTACAAAATACTTGGGATGAAATTGTATGCAATAAAATAATTTCAGGTACTTTCAGATGTTGAGTTCTCCCTACTTGCTATTCTCTGCCGCATTTTATTAACACACCAAACCTTCCATAACCTGCAGATTTCATTGGCAAACCACACTACGAAGCTTAGCTTGCCTGGCAGCCCACCACCTTGTTTCTCCCTTTCAGATAACTCCTCATTCACTGTACAAACATCCTTTTTTCCTGTCTAAAGTCCTAACTTTGTGTGTGGTACCTCAGCAAATGCTTTGCCAAACTCCCCAAAGACCCCCAAAGTCTCCTGGGGTGGGGTGGGGAGAAAGCATAGTTCCTCTCCACAAAAACAAAGCAAGCTTACCAAAGACAGGTAAATATGTCAGAAGATTTATCTGAGACTAAACCTGTTTTGCCTTTTGTCCTAGGTAGTTGCATGGGTATTTTTGTTATCTTCAAAGTATATTACAAAGTCACATAAATACTGATGTTCAGATTAATGGGTTTTCACTGCTTAGCCTATTTTTTTTCCTCATTCTGCTTTCTTTAATATTATTCTTAATAGATAAACGGTTGGGGCTGCAATACATTAATGTTCCCATTTAAGAGTTCAAAGGATAGCGCTAGATCAGCTGTCTAAGATGACAGAGAAGAGGATGGAAAATGATAATTAGATTTCTCCACATATCTGGTTCTTCGGCGGTAATTACAGTTCTCCAAGTCATCACAAACCAGCCCAGTTATATAGCCCTGTTTTGTTTGTTAAACTTGTTTGAGAGCATTTGACTTGAGCTCGCTTTCTTTCTTAGTCATCTGTATCACGCCCAGAGAAATAAGCCTCTGAAACACGTACACACATACACACACTCATAGAGGCGGAACACACATTTCACCGACCCTCCCTTGATTCTCCCATTAATATCATCTTTTTGCCTGTCAGCAGGGGGATGGGTATGGAGTCAGTCACAGGAGTAAGAGAAGTGAGGAGAAGGAAACCCAGACAGCTGTACATGGTTTGTTTGTCCAGGGAATTTTCTTCTTCCCCACCACCCCGTCTCCACTCCCTCTAGTCTGATCCCTAAAACAAGAAACCTCTTATTTTATAGCTCCAAGGCCTGGTCAGTGCCGATGTAGATTTCCCCTTTCTCAATGAATAACACAAGGTATAAGAAAACTTACAGGCTTAAAGGAAAGCTCATACTATCAGAATACCATGAAGGCATAAGGTTAGGCATCTCTTCCTGGCTACTGTACCGGTTTCTCCATTAGGTAGGCAGAAAATAACAATTCCTCTCCTCCATAATGAAAGCTAATAGAGGTTTCTGAAACTTCCAGACCTTTAAATAGAAGACACCATAAAAGCAAATGGTGCTTATTTCTAGTGGGGGAGGGGAAGGTACTCAAGCAAAAGAACAGTAGGAAAATGCCTTTGTCACAATTGGACAGCAACCCAATTCTTTCAATGAAAACTCACAAGCCTCCTTTATCCTTACTCGGAAAGAAATACCTACTTTTGTCCTTTACATAAATTCTGATCAAGAAAGTTTAAAATGCATGTTCATTAGTACCAGCCAGCCAGGTGGTCATATTTGCCTTTATTATGGTTAATGAACCTTAGGTCTGCATATGAAATTCTGCTTTTTTTTTTTTTTTTTCTAATGAGGTTTTACTTACTTACTTACTCAAAATTATACCTATCCTTCCAAAAGCTTAGCAACATTATAAAGAGCATTAGTGTTCATTAAGGGCTAACAACTTGCGATTCCAAACAGGTGTTTCCCCAGTTTTCTAGATTTCCTTGCATTTTGGGCACTCATCTTTATGCAGCCCTTGATCAGATACATGTACCTGCAACTACTGAATAATTTCTCCCGCAAACAAGTGTGAGAAGAGGCTTTAGGAACAATGGGCTCAGACAGGGGCACACCATTTGCTTTCTGATATTTGCAAAACAAAATGTTGATTTCTACAGTTCAAGATATTGCACATTAGATCATTCTTCCCTTGGCTGGGAGTTGGGTCACTATTTTTTTATCACATCTAACCACGTTATCACTGTAGCTCCAGTACAGTCCATGCAAATTTTGAAGTGTATTTTAGACCAACTCTCAGACATACCAGAATCAGGATTAAAAACATCTAACAAAAAAAAAAAAATCTGTTTCCTATTCCTTCCCCTGCCTTCATACACCATTATTTCTGCTGTGCTTACAAGTCTGGTGACAGAACCGTAAGTTAAGCACGGCAAGAAGTTAATACCGTAACAGCGCTGGTTCTTAGGGAGGAAGAGTTACTACACAGACAGCAACATTTGTTTCAGCAATAGGTGATAAAAGGTGTTAAGTGGAAGGAAAGGACATT